TGAAAAGAAATTTGTGGCTTTATGTGAGCTCAGTCGGTGATCGTTCCCCCAAGATATTAGGCGTTAGTCAATATGTCTCAGATCACAAAAGATCCATGTGGATTATTTCTGGAGTTCATTTCATATCATGTAGAGACATCGTTGCTTGTTTCCATTGAGTAGAGGTGTTAACTCAAAGTGGCATTTTTCATGATAACCTAGACATTTCTTCAGATTCCTCCTTTTGTTTGCTATTAAAGAGATTGTGATTACCTTCAATCACGTACAGTTCTCTGAAGAAAATGCTTGTTGAAATTTCGCATTAGTGATGAACAACTCGGACTGTTGACCCAGCACAGCTCAGCGTCTAATGCTGCTCATTTATGATTTTCTTTTTGTTGATGTTATCAGAACAATATCGACTCTGGTACGGTGTTTTTTTTCGCACTCATAACGCTTCTTAGAATCGCCATCAGTGGTTCGTAACTATGTGGTCATATTGTTATGGATAAGCTCAAAACGTCCGCTGTAGACAATTACGAGGATGCACAGTAGCTTATACCAGCTTTTAGCTCTTCGGAGAACGCATCAGCTTACTTAAAACAGCTGTGGAAATTTTAGAGTGGTAGCCTATAATAATCATTCTTCTGACGAGTAAAGGCCGAATAAATAACTACCATCATGACAACACATTATCCATCCGACAGTTAATGTGCAAAACGCATGCTAGCTGACTCGTGGTAGAACCAGTAAAAGCAATTTTTCGTGGTGGAAATAATACTAGAAATGTAGGAACCTACTTTGGTCAAGATCAAATATATATCGCCATTGCTAATTCTTGCTAAATACTAAGTTAAAGAGATCCAAAAAAAAACTTCATTCCTGCTCTGTGAAAACAACGCACGTGGGACGATGGAAAAAAGAGACCTCTTCCATAACATCTACCGTCCTATAGAAATCATGTACGATCCATGAGCTGCTTCTTGGCCGCATAGTTTCTTATTACCATACTTTTAGCAATTTCACGTGTGGGGCAGTGTTCGAAGGCACCCTGCAATACACACGCGGAATCGACCCACACGCCCATTGCCTATCAAGCCTTCCATCCCTCTGGGGTCAGCAAATTGGTACCAAACTTGTCTGGGAGGATAACAGCACTGGCTCGATACATCGGTAGGCCACCGCGAGTCATTGTAAAGGCCAGGTATGCATTCAATCACCTCCGACAATGCTTAATGAAGTCGAATGAATGGCGCATTCCTCAGGGATTGTTCAACGCCGAGAGCTTTATCCTTTATCCTTTTATACTTTTAGCATCCATTCAATGTTTTCCTAGCTTCTGCAGGCTCAACAAGTTCCTATATGCCTAGAAAGTCATAGAAGTTACTACGAAGTGAAATTTCTAATTTACTCTCAGTCACTAGTCTACCAGGAATACGACGGCAAAATACAATTGTCGGATACCATATGAGCATTTGTCACTTCTATTTACCTATATTTATACCAGTGGCTCAAGAGATAATCGCATATGAACAGACCAAGGCTCTTAAGACTTATGATCCCCACTGAAGGCTATAATAAAACCACAAAGATGTTTCCTTTGAAGAATCTTATGAATGAAAATCATCCATCTAGTAATTACAGCTCATGTTCGACTCTGTTAGATTTCGCGCTAAAAGCGAAGCAGATCCCGAATTTCATCTACACAATCGCCACCACGTGCACTGATTTCAATGCTTATGGAAAAGCACGACGGGTGCCGCACATTGGCTTCGATTCCTTTTCTTTTCAGTGACTAAGTGGAGAGATTGTCTATGTTATTATTCAACTATACGTTAGTGATAAGGGTGGAGAGTTTGTAATTCCTCATCAGTTAGATGCTGAGATAACGAAAAAGCATATTGAAGATGCTTTCCTCTATCGCTCATTATCTGAAAAGAAATTGAAAAGTCATTACCGAAAATCGAACAACGATCTCAACTCAACGTTGAGTTATTACCATGCCATGCATTGTACTTATCAAAAATCGTAAGTTGGTATCCGTTGATGATCCTGCGTCTGCAGATCCATTCAAGGTTAGACCCATCATTAAGCGTGTAGATGGGCCAACGGCAAGAATAACATGGTTTTTAACCCTAATACTCACCCAGTTGTTAAAACTCAGTCCAACCCATCATAAAAATAGATGTTCGTGGATCGTCTACGTAACGCGGGTCCTAACAGTGCGTACATGATGGAGTCTTTCGCGGTTACCGCCCTTTATACAAACCTGTCGAATGACTTCGCTATGAAAGCCATCCTTGATCTCCTTATACAACATGGGGAAGCAATAAACATGCACGGCAACTAGGTTGACTAGCTCATGGTCCCCCTAAAAAAGTGCCAAAGTTGTTCAATTTTGAGATTGTCTGAGAAGTATTTCGCACAAATGAGAGGGTTGGCAATGGGACGGCGACTGGCATGAAGCCTTGCCACTGCATCCATGCCTAGGATGGAAGCACCAGAAATCGATCTCCGTCTACTGTAGATATATAGAGGACTACTTCGTCATTTGCTCTGCACAAGAGGAAATGGACAGATGTCTTAAGTTATTGAATGAACAGTCAGAGTACACTAAGTTTACCCGAGAAAAATTCAACTTATCCGAAAACGTTTGCATTATGAAGTAGTACCGATACCCAGGTAGTGAAAACATATTGGTTCGTCACCTCTCCTCTCGCGACACACAAAAAAGGGCGCTTGTGAGAAATATGTCTTGAACACAACGTTAACCTTTTATTTGCGGCCTGCTATAATTTTTACGGCAGGGTCTGATGTGAAATACAACCACAACAATTTATGCCCGGTACATGGAAAACAGGATTTTCCTTTCAATTTCCATGTACCGGGCACAAATCGTTGAATTGGAAAAATGGAGAGCCTGTGAAAATGTCGTTTCCACTTCATCGCTGCTCTATCGTATCTGCTTACTACACTGAATTGCTCCACTTCCCTTTCAGCGCCAAACAGCGGGTCCTCCTCAGATCTAGCAACTACGAAGAAATGGAGCAGTCGATTCAATCTCATCCTTAAAAGAACCACTGCGTTAAGCTCTCATTCTCTCTCTCTCTAAGTTGTTAGCTGCAGTTTTGGTCCGCTGGTTCCTGCCTTCCTCTATCCAATGACATTCGTTTGTGTTGAGATCTTCGCGGATGGTGGATGCGAGGAAAAAAACTGGATATAAGAAGTGCTAGGATCCGCACAGTTGACGTGAAGACGGACCAAATAAAATAAAAAAATAAAAACGTAATCTTAACCCTTTTTATTTACTGCCTTTTTCTTCTTAATGGCAGGGTATGTTGCGAAATATAACTCGTATGAAATGCTGAGATATTTGCAAAACTCCGGACCGCAGGTGTATGCAGTGGGGAACGAAAAGCGCGCTGCTCCCCGGTAAGGACAACAGCGCGTGTTCGTTCTCCACTGCATACACCTGCGGTCCGGAGTTTTGCAAATATCTCAGCATTTCATACGAAAAAAACATATTTTCTTCTTGTTCAAGTTTGCTGTAGTTTCGGAGAATTCGAGAGAATTCTCCAACTTCCGCAGTTTCGTTAAATAATAAGTAGTTCTGCTAAAGAAACTCAGTTTTTTGTTTAAAAAATAGGTTGTTCCATGTAAGGAAATGATAAACAACTACCTTGACCCTTCAGCGATGAAGCTGACTTTTTGCAACTTCCGATTGATAAACTATCCTAGTAGTTCGGAACTCTGTAAATTCACAGAGTAGACTTTACACTATCTTTAGCGTCCTTTTAAATTCAAATATGTTTAGCACAGAGATTTTCAACAAGTTGAAACACCCCCCCCCCCCCCCCCCNCAGAGTAGACTTTACACTATCTTTAGCGTCCTTTTAAATTCAAATATGTTTAGCACAGAGATTTTCAACAAGTTGAAACCCCCCCCCCCCCTCCCCTGTTAGGATGCTTTCGTCTTCGAAAGACCAGCCTTCGAGAAGAAAAGTGGAAGATGGTTTCCAGAAAGTCAGAATTTCACTATGATAAACGAAGTTCTACTTTATGGGCAAGGAACTGCAGATCCCAATTGTTTTTATTGAAACTGATAAAATCCACCAAGACCTAATAGATTTCAATTCGAAGTTGCAAGTGGCCGTAATTTCCGACTCGTATGACTCCTGTGGAAGTCATGCCGTCGCATAAGCGTTGTAAACTAAGGTTTCCACACCGTGCTGCTAATGAGGTTGCTCTCCAGAATAAAGTCTCAGAAAAAGTGAACGTCCGAAACTCCGCTCTCTGGTGGTTGGAGTGGAAGCTCGAGGGACGACGGACGACTCCGTGCCGACGGGAGTGCACTGCGCCAGCTGTTCCGTTCCAGCGTCGGCTACAACCGATCGATACCGCATTGTTCGCGTTGCCAAGCCGGCGCGATACCCGACGGTCTGGATCCCGTTCCTCAACGCAGGACTATCCCAGCTCTGAACAAGTTCAGTGTTCGGCTCTTCGCTCCCACTTGCTACTATTGTTGTTCTAAGCAAACCATTCTGTCCACTTCTTTCTTGTTCGTGACCGTCATGATCAAATATTTTCACACGCTCCGTGAAATTCTGCGGTAGTGTCGTACAAGATTTACGTTTATTTTCGTTCCTTTTGTTTTGAGATTTTGGTAGTGTGGGTTTCTCTTCAGAGTTCGGAAATATTTAGTAGGTGATTGCTGCCGACCGACCTTAGTCCTAAAGAAAAGCGAAGGGTCAAGTTGTTTAGTCTGAAAGGCGAACATATCTTGATATATTTGGTCATTCCGGTTTAACAAACCTATGAAATTTAGAACAAAATCCTCGTGATTTTTCCAGCACTCCTTTCCCTCAAAGTTTGGTTTTGGAAATTGTTCCTTTTTTCTTTTTGATAATTTTAGGGTCTTAATTCTGGCGCATCGTCCTCCAAAGCGCCTTCGTCTGAGTTCGGAGAACAATCGCAACGATTGCAGTTTGGTCGCCTATACCGCAACTATTTTCGGTTCACAAATGAACAAACTCAAGTCTGAGCAAAAAACGAAGGTTTGTGTTGGCAGTTATCCTGGCTTGCTCAGTAGAGTTTGGGAACGTTTCTCTTAATAGAGTGCTCAGAATAGCGTGTACTGTCCTGTCCCCGTGTTTTTGCTCACGGTCTTAACTTAATCACTGTGTGGTCGGTTTTCAGATCAAGAATTTCGTTACGTGGACTCAAACGAGCGAGCAGGTCGCCTATGCATGTCTTTCCAGAGCCAACTGGAACATGGAATACGCTGTGGATTTGTTTTATCAGGTACACAAGTGGCATTTGTGTATAGCGGAGATGTGTTTCGTACGCGCCATATTCATCATAACACCTTATTCGGCGAAATTTCTGTGACTGCAGTAGTTCCTTAAGTGGTAGTGAGGGTATCTCGTTGAACTGGCCGTCTTCATATGGATTCCTGTCTTTCTTTGGAAAATCTCTCTGAAGCGTGTGAGTTGGTGACGGATAAGAGGTTCTTTTGTTTGTAAAAGACCGGATTTGAGATTAGCAATTGAACTAATTGCAATGCATCAAACCGAGGGATAATAAATAGATGAAGGATAAAGCTCTCGGCGTTGAACAATCCCTGAGGAATGCGCCATTCATTCGACTTCATTAAGCATTGTCGGAGGTGATTGAATGCATATCTGGCCTTTACAGTGACTCGCGGTGGCCTACCAACGTATCGAACCTGTGTTGCTATCCTCCCAGACACAAGTCTGATACCAATTTGCCGGCCCCAGAGGAGATGGAAGGCTTGGTGAGCCACAGGCGCGGGGGTCAATCCCATGTGTACTGCGTGGCGCCCCTGACCACCGCTACACGAACCGAGGGAACTATTTGAAATGTGGAATGTCATTGTGATGATGTTTTTCACATGTTCATTCCATAAATCAGTAAAAGTTCAATTCAGCTTGTATTTCGAAAAGGTCTTGCTCATTTGAATAAGGTTGAAATATCACGAACTCGTAGATTTCCTGAACGTTTGTGTGCACAATAGTGATACGAAAGCGCAATAATTGACTAGCTTAAAGTACGCCTGCCTTCGTTAAGCATGCAAAAATTTAGGCATTAAGAGGAAGTAAGTGAATGGATGCTTGGAATCTGAGAGTTTCGAAGTCACTCTGCTCGGGTCATTGTCGATTTTCAGATCTAGTCAAGTAGCCATAAAAATTTAGAGTCCGCGAATGATTCAACAACAGCAACAACCTCCCGTAGACAAGTACAAATTGGAAAAGATGTTCTCAGCATATGCTAACGGTATCCATTTTCCTTAGTTCATCTATTTATGGCCGCTTTGGAGGTATATATTTCAAAATTCATAATATCATGGAGAACAAATAGTGCCTTGGTATCTCACCAATCATTATTAGTTCAGATCCACGTGACGATGTTGGTTCTGGACGCATAGGACCCAATGGTATGTTACGTCTTCTGAACGATCTTCACTTGGATGCTTCTGACCGTCGCGTACTGATATTGGCCTGCAAACTTAAGGTTTTTCCTGAAACAGATTCTATAAATTTTTGTTCTTCCACTGGTGTACTATAGCGTGTTCCAGGTACTCAGACTTAGCTGTAACATGTTATTTTATTGCGTTTTGCTTTTGTTTTATAACTGGTTAAATTCCACTGAAAACCGCCACTTTTCCACTTCCTTGTTTTAGAAATATCCTCTCCTTCCACTTTTACGTAATCACTAGTAAGCACTTTGTCAGTGTTTTGATAAGAATCAACTCGGTAGGATATTGGACTTCGTTAAACTTTTATAAAATAGCGGAGCGGAGCGTCAACTTTTCCTATCATCAGCTTCAAATTACTTATTTATCTCTTTAATTGTCCTTGCCCTATGCAGTCTTTGTCCTCTGCAGGCACAAACGCAGTGCGAGTTCAGTTGGGAAGAATGGCAACAAGGGCTTTCAGCATTGAGGTAGTTGCATCGCTCTGAGACAGTTTTTCATTTAACCGTAACCTCCATATTTTATTCGGTGACTACAATAGGTGGAAGCTTTTTCTGTTTGCAGAGTTGATTCTATGGACAAACTTCGTGAACGTTTGCAAGAACTCGACACGGAGTTGGCTGAACCAGCTGCTTTTCGCGAACTCTACTCGTTTACCTTTACTTACGGGAAACTGAGCAGCCAGCGTAACTTAGATCTAGATACAGCACTTGCTTACTGGAAAATATTATTTAGAGACAAGGTATTGTTATGTTTCTTTAACCTAAGATGTTATCCACCTGTACTTGGTACTTGATACTTGAGTGGCCCGTCTTCATTGGTTGTGCGGGCCCCAGCATAATCTCCATTTTTCGGACATTTGCTGGTTAAATCATTATGGTTCCCTGGAGTCCCGAGGTCAGCCTGGCCAAAGTATGCCGCAGGTCTTCACCACCCTAGATAGTTCTTGTGGATCAGAGGGATATTTACCACCACGCGACTTTGATACCAGGACGGTGGTGGATCATGGTACTAGTTTACTCTTAGCTAGGCTTCCTGACGGAAACGCCGGACTCCTCAGTTTGGGAGACCCTGCCAGGGAATGAATCCCCCGTTGTACATTGCAGTCCGACACCCAGGAGCACCTCCCAGCCACGATGAGGCGTTAAACCGCTGAGAGGTATCCACCTATATAATATGAAATTCCATTAATCGTTGGTTGGCACGCTTTTACTGCTCCCTGTCTGCACTTTTTGGCTGTAGGGCGCATATAAGTGGTTGGAAAGGTTCTATAGGGTTGAAATATATAGAAGGAGGTAGGGATGCTCACTGATAACTTGTCAAACTCTCCAGAAGTAGGCATGAAGTTAATTGCTCGAGCCTACACCGAAGAACCTCTCGAGTACTTGGAATCCAATTAAAGGCAGGTTTTGTCCGAATCTATAGGAAAGGTATGCGTACAAGAATACCCAGAGATGTTTACAATCTGTTTGTCCACGGAATGTCCAGATAAGTCTATTAGGTATAGAACAAATAGGAAGCCTATTCCCACATGATTTTCAAAGGGGGAACGCAGTCGTTATTCATCTTCCTATCCAAAACGTAGGTACGGACCGCATGACCTTGAACGTAGCCCGCTTAAAATCTTTTGTATGGTGATGTATGAATGGATTTCATTAGACTTTAGAAATGCATTCTCAGTGAAAGGCTTCATACATAACTATTTTGCAGTTTCCTCTGCTTTCACTTTGGGAGGAGTTCTTAGTGAAGGAACATGGGAAGGCTATTTCAAGGGACACATGGAATCTTTTGCTTGATTTCTGCCTGACGATACGACCTGATCTCACTAACTACGATGACGAGGGCGCTTGGCCAGTACTTATCGATCAGTTTGTGGAATATGCGCGAGGGAAGCTAGGTCTGCCGCAACATGAAGCATCAGTAGTGACATCCTGAGGATCGTTGGTGGCTTGTTGCCATTTAACACTAAGAATCCTGCACTATAGTCCACAATATGTGCAGGATTCCTAGTAGAATTGTATTGAATGTTTTATATTGCCAGCTTTGGTGTTCTTTCGCTCCAATTTCGTACTTGTGTGCATTGTATCGACACTAGTTTTCTTTTTGTTTCTCACAGCACTCGTTTTACTTGTACTTTTCTGTTGTTACTTTCCCTATTCATCGTGAGCTAAACGGGTTCATGCTTAACCCGGTACGTATTTTTGGTGATGCGAAAATGACTGTCCCGAATGTAGGTGTTACGTCTTTGTATTAGCAGCGCTGTATTTCCCTTTACCTCTCAGGACAATTTTATATCTGTTCTCGTGAATAAAAGGAAGTACTGTCGTGTGATACCCAACGGAACTGTCCGTCGTATTGACACTACGAGCTAAACAAGGACTTCAAGTTTTTCAAGGACTTGTCTTGTCGTATCATCTCAAAGAGGTCTTAAACTAACAGTCTAGTTATTACCAGGTGATACTTTTACAATATTTCTTCCATAGCATCTTATCATTAAAACATTCTAAGTTCTCATTGTCATTCTTATAATGGATTCGAATGATTTCCTTGCAAAGCAAACGGAGCTTTGATACTACGCGGGATGTTTATACAGTTTATGTATGATCATGGTAACTAGAACAGCACGATTTCACCATCAAAGGCTACAACATATCACTGTGTCTGCGATCAAATCATCACAATGATAGGTTGGACAACTGCTTGGATACCCTGTAGTTTCAACTACTATCATCCAGTCGAAAATTTCATCCTCATTGCTACAAATAGGTATTACTAACATGCCATATAAAATGTACAAGACACGTTGGCAAATATAAATACTCCGATGAGTTCTTAAGGGTGAAAACGGGCACTGGTTAGCATGATGGCCTGGACATGATCTGAACACGTGCGATGTCTGCCAACCGTTTCTGGATCCGATGGACGAGATCCTCACCATCGGTAACAATGCACTCTAGTTCTCGAGCAACCTAAGACGAAGGAAATTTCTAAGAAGGAATACATTCATGAATTTATGAAATGTATCGTTTTCTAGAACTAGGGATGTTACTACTGCTGGAATGAGCGTAAGGATAAACGAATCTAAGACCGAGACCAATACTGAATTACGTAAAGTGCTCAAACGAGAATTATTGAGAAATTGCATAAATAAATATCGCAACCTCTTTGCACGAAAATAATTGGAACTCCTAATGGATAGTCCTCCCAATGGTTTACCGCATCATCTTGCCTGGGAGGTGTGTCTGGGTGTCGGGCTGCGATGTACAGCGGGGGCAATCATCCGCAGCAGGGCCTCCTAAGCTCGGGAGTCTGTTTTTCATCAGGAAGACCAGCTAAGAGTAAACCAATACCAAGATCCACCATCGTTCTGGTATCAAACTAGATGTATGGTGGCGAATCTCCCTCTGATTCACTGGAGCAGACTTAGGCTAGACTCACCTCGGGATTCCAAAGAACCATAACGGCTAAACCAGCGAAACTCCGAAGAAAAAGATGAAAATTACGCTAGGGCCTGTGCCAAAAGTTAGAACGGCCCATCCAGGTACACAAGTAAGTAGTAGATAATAAGTGTTACGCTCGCTACCGATTAGGTTATTCTTTTTCATATCTTGAGATAATTCTTCACCATATTTTATTTTGTTAATGCGTTTCTGGTTTAAGAAAAAGTTGTTCTAAAGGAACAATGGCAATGAATATTATTCAAGTCCGGAAAGAGTTGTCGACAAACCTTTGCCCTCTCGGCATCCACCTGGAGTAACTGTTCCACAGTGTCTCCATTTCCAGCATCTTCAATAGGGAAAGAGTCGATCAGCACCTGAAGAAGAAGCGGTAACATCGATCTTCCGTGAAGTATGACTATCATTTGTACCGTTCATTCAAATAGTAACTTTTCTTTAATGGTCATGTTTGAATCCGCGAGTATTAAATGAAAACCACATGAGTGAAGAAAATGTTAGTACTAGATATATCAGCTCTCGTTTCCAAGGTAATATGGGACAATACAGAGGAAATCCAAAGATGCTATGGAATATGAAAGCAGATGGAGTAGCACGTGATTTAATGCAAAGCGCAGAAGGTAATAAAAAGTCGAGTAAAATAGAGCTGCTCCTGTGGGATGGCTTTCGGGGGTAATTGTTGGGAAATACCTAATGCTGTAAGAAAAAGGTGCATTTCTAGCGGTACGTAACCGAATGACAATCCATTCGGCAACGATATAATATTCTTGCGGCTGTTACGTTTGTTTCAGACCAATAATGAAGGTTAGTTTGACTTTTTTTCAAATTAGGCTTTCCTTATAACAAGTATTATCTCCTACAGAAAGTACGTTGCGTAAAGAAATGATTTTCACTTGAACGTGGAACTGTAGAGCTCTAAATTGTTAAATATGTCCATAACCAGAAATTTCCAACTTCTCTCGAACTTTTCATGTCCTTTAAATGTATAGTTATAAAATACCACAATGATGCTGAGATACAGGCAAAATTTCGGACGACAGGTGTCCGCGCTGATTTGTTAGATAAAAAAAACTAGTTGAGAGAAAGGCGAAATGAAGGACGCACATGGTGTGGTGGTGAACGCGTTAGCCTCCGGAAAGGATAACAGCGTGTTGGATCGTCACCGCTGATATTTGCCGTCCGGAGTTTTCAAACATCTCAGCATCACTGTAGTCGATTTTGCATAATACCCTAGCGTGAAAATTGTAGTCGGCAGCAAACAAAAAAGTTGACATAGTTATAAAATGCTGCGTGAGTCAAATGCTACATCACCTCAATCAGTTGGCTTTCAAAAAAAAAAGAAAAAAAAGAAATGCAAGAAAATTCAATGCAAGCGCAACAGCAGCAAGCACCAGCAGTACATTGGAGAATACTGATCTTCGGGATCTTCTGGTTCCCCAAAGAAATAAATTATAGCACTCACTTCGACATCCTTCGCCGTTCTCGCTATATGTGCCGCAAATAATTGACAGTTCGTCTCCTCTTCCAATTCCTAGACAGTTGTGAATTCCTAAGCGTTAGCAAATATATTTATCCAATTAAAAGGACAATAAATAAGCACTATGAGAGTAATGACTAACCGGATTGCTACGATCGAAGTCACATGGAGGAGCTGTGGCTTGCAACACACCAATGGCATTCGTCATGAAAGACGCCAACTCATTAATGAGATCTTGCAATTGCGTTAGTCGATCCGACATATCGACCACTCCAATATGGGTGGTGTTCACTCTCTCTTTAACATTACCGATTATACTATCCACACATTGTTCATAAGTACAACTGCGCTATAATTACGGACCACAACTATACACAATATGGCTCACACCTTCATCCTTTTGTTACAATATTACCCTGCCGCACTTTTGCATCAATTTATTCCCAAACTTTTTCTTTTACATCTACCACGCGAAAACCATAGATACGTTGGCAATAAGCCGATCACAAGGCTGGAAATCTCCCTTCGATCAACAAAATACGGCGAGTGTCTGTGGTTACGACTTAGTGTGGTCCTAGTTCAGCCTGTTCAAGACTCCATGGAAATGAAATGTTGCTCGACCAGGCATCAGATGGAAACTGTGCTAGGACTCCCACACTTCTTAATGAAGACGGACAGTTCATATGAACAAGTATTACCGAAAGTAAATCACAAATACAACTTCTTCTATTGGTCGCACCTAGTTTCGATTCTTCTCGTTCTTTTCTGGCTTTTGAGATCTTTGCTAAATCCTTATAATAATGTAACGGTTGTGGCCTTTGCACCAACAACGGTCCTTCCAGAACAGCCAGTTTAGTTCGTGTTTCATCAATTTAACCGATTCGTTACGGCCTTTTTTTCCTTTTTCCTATCTGAAAATTTCGATTGAAAATCTCATCTTTAGTGTTCCACTAACAGATTACTCCATCATAGTGAATCTTCCCAGCATTCATTCATTGTCTCCACAGACTCTGCCGTACGAATTAGTTTTGTTCTCCATCCTTCGCAATGAAATCACTTTTTCTCAGGACCAAATTCGACAACGAAATAATATCTGTGCAATTACCGCCAAGAGATCCATGCGGCATGCATTTTAACTGTGCACGACTAGCGGACTCTCGTTCACACCTTGAATAGCTTGATGTTATTCGTTCCACTAAAATGTATTTCGTAAATCTTTCCGTTCTTCTTCCGCAAACACGAGGTGTTACATTATTCTTTCTGACGTTTCCGCAGATTTCGCCTTCCTTCGTAAACATCGTACGAACCTAACACAAAATACACAAGCATGTAGTGATTTCTGCGAGGTCTACGGATTATACCAGGGCCAATAGTTGTTCAAATGTGAGCAGTTTCACAACTTAGAATAGAAGAGGATTGCGGCTAGGATAGATTTAGACCCCAATGATAAAATTGCAGCATTCTAACCAATCCCACTCGAAAGCTGTCAATCCTAACGAATGTCTTTGTTCTTCTTCATACCCGATCGTCCCATTCATCAAACACTGCTAATGATTAATGATAATAAATAGAAATACACTACTCCTGTGTATTTAGACAATTTGTTGCTCCACTGCAGACTGATAGTCAGAGATTCAGATGTTGGAAGACACTAGACTGTTTCACTACGCATCACTGACCCATTTTCGTCACCATTTCATTGTCTCCTCTGCATTCCAAGTGTTCGGCCTTATCAACTCGCTTTTCAATCACAATGATGTGTCTGCAATGGTTGACATTCAACTTGTCGTTTCTGTGTGACATAACTCAAGATTTCTCAGTTCCGTACGGCAAAATAGTACGGCGTGCTCTATCCCCGTGTCCAGAATCAACACAAGCGGGGAACGACGCATCTAAATTACCAAACAATGCAAAGACACAAATAAAATGTCTCAGCCCAGCATCACGAAGCAATGATCGATACCTTAGATGACTTCGGTCCCTGCGAGTGAACCAAATCCCTCGATTGGATTTGCAATCACAAGATGATATACCTCGTCAAATCCGGTAACTGACTCAAGTACAAAAAATAGTCAGTATAAAGGGAAATAAAACCATATGTACCTCTTTATGCAAGCACTCTCATATGCGAAATAAAAACACTTTAAATAGTAGGATACTGAGACATGATCAAAACTCGGCACTTCAGTCCGGCTTCGAACCCGCAATCACCCCCACCGAGAGCTCACTTGCTATCTACCATACCAACTGAAGCCCCTCTGTCGTTTTAGCCACGTTTCTTCTCTATTACTGTCATTAGCAATAACCCATCAACTGGGATGATTTAGGGTACAGTTCGACGTTGATTCTGACTAAGCTAAAGCAACACTCCAAATGATAATTCCTTAACCTTTTATTCCATACAATATGGGTGAAAGAAAATAAAAGCCAGGGACTTGGTTGTTGTGGTGGACAGCGTATGAGCTCCCAGTAAGGCTAATCGCGGCTTGGAGGCCCACTTGAAGTCCCGAGTTTTGCTATCTCAGCACAGTTGTCGTATTTGACAGAGTACTCTGCCATGAGGGAAAAAATAATAGGCAGTAAACAAGAGTTAGGACTTCAAACATGAATCGGCAATACGAAGAAAACCACACTTTTTCGAAACACAGTTATTACAGCGAGAACTGGACTCGCCGACGATGCTGAGATGACCGTCGGTAAGCTACAAGCACGCACACTTATCAGTCAAAAAAAACTATGACCACTCATTTTATTATTTATTCGCTGATCTTTAATTATTGAGATGGAGAATCGAAATACATAAAAGCCACCGATCAATATTTATACTTGGTGGAGTAGTCCTTTGGAGATACAACCAAACCTCGGCCTTTCCGTGCTCCCCTGGAATAACGAACGTTTTAGGAGTGCACATTAATCTGAGATTTAGTATATTCACTCAATACTACCAGTTCCAAACCTATAAACAGTTTCGATTATGTCAATAAGTTCTTGTCCATCAGTGATGGGCCAGTTAATCTTGTTGTTGTTACCCGTACCTGTAATTAATATAACTCATGACCAATTTGAAAAACACTGTAATTTCACGCAATGCAAAACAAAAGTTCTTTATTAACCTCAAACTGCTGAAAAAAAAACAAAGTAGAGTAATCCAAACATTCACTATATGTTGATGCAAATATGTACCTATCAGTAACCTAAACACATAACGCCCACCATATTTAGCGTTCCTGCCGCAAGGAACGAGAGCTAATTTTCAAACTTAACGCGGGTTTCCCAAAAATACTTAGGCACTTGGATGGTCCGTACTCACTGGTTGTACGGCCCCAGCACAATTCCCATTTTTTTCGAAGTTTTGCTGGTTTAGCCACTGTGATTCCCTGGAATCGTGAGTTCAGCCAAGGCGAAGTCCGCCCATGTTGTCACCACCGCAGGTAACCGCCGCCTTTGTGGATCAGGTTTGCGGCCACGCGACTAGTTTGATACTAGAATTGTGGTAGACCTCGCTATTGGTTTACTTTTAGCTGGTCTTCCTGATGGAAACGCCGGACTCCTTTTCAGTTTGGGAGACTGCTGGGGGGATGAATCCCCACGCTGAACATCGCAGTCCGACACCCAAGAACACTTCCCAGCTACAATAAAGCGGCAAACCGTTAGGAGGATTTTAAACGTAGACGACTATATTTCGATAATCAGCGGACCTCAGTGGTTGTGAACGTGGTGTAATTGTAAAACAGACATCGCTTTATGGATATAAATCGCTACTGGTCTACTACTACTATATGTTGCTATGGTGCATCATATAAACACATAGCACTCATGATTTGAAAGTGATTTGCAACTTATGCTGTCCATTTTGGTTTTTTCATATTCACACATTCCACAGAGCAATCATGAATTCTCATAGCGAATGAACAAGGGAATAAACAGCTTTATGCAGATAAAACAAAGAAAAGAAATTTGAGACTTGCCTAAATCTACCATGATATGCTTGTTTCTGAAGAAGAACATCACTGTGCAAGGATCGTACAATTCATACATTTTGTTGAAATCGGGAACCTGGAACAATGAATTTAAAACAACAAAAAATGAAAAAAATATCCCAAAGACACAGAAAGGTCAGAGAGACGGAAATGATAGTTACTCAGATTACATGGACAAATCAAATTTTACATTCTCTATGCTATTTTAGTTCCTTAAGCTTGTTTTTTCTCCTTCATAATATTGCAAATCATCCATGCAATTCGAAATACCTCTCCAAGCATCAAACAGTAGCTTGTAATATATGTTAAGAATTTAATAATTCAAAAAACTGATTTTCTATGAACTTCGCATAAAAAATTGATTTGTTTACATTACAACCAGTCTATAAGACCATATAAATAAATACATGTTACGACCTTGAAGAAGGCCGATGCTAGTAATATCAAGAAAATAAATCAAAGAAAAAGACCTCCACTTAGGACTTAAAATAACACCTACCTTGGTAATATCAACCAGATAAATCACAGAGAAATTTTTCACTTTAGGAGCAATCTTGAAAAGCGTCTGCAAAAGACATTTGGTAAACAGGGCATCACAAGAATAGTTAGAGACACAGACGTACTTCATCCATTCGCATACACGTGGGATCCCAATCATGACCGAATCTCACGACAACAACACGATCTTCCTCAGCAAGAATAGCTTGGTCCACCTAGAATCCCCGTTGATGCACCATTTCTTGGAAAAATAGTGTTCGCTGTTCACTAATTTTTGTTTTATCATAAACTTGTATGATAAACGCTACTTAATGGTTAAATAAAAGGTTGAGGTAAAGTTATATATTAAATGGAAGGTCAATGAAATGAGGTTAAAATGAAATTCGGTTTACAATGATAAACGCTTCTTACTGAAAAGCAGATACGACAGCTTCCACTCAACCATCTTCTGATATAACCTTATGTTGATTAAGGTTGTCTAGAGAGAGTAATCTCAGGGAAGTTAGTGATCTGAAGTAACCCATCAGTTCTGTTACTAAACTGATGGGATGCAGGGGCGGATAGCACAGTGATAGTTATGTTCATCATCAAAAGCATGGTACTAGTTCTATTGCGTTACGGGCCAACCAAGCCTTCCATCTCTCTGGGGTCAGAAAATTGGTGGGAAAAACTTGTCTGGGGAAAAATTGCTCTCTGCAATCCAATTCGGAATGCTCCAGCCCGGCTACCTCAAGACTCCAGGGAGAATTGCTCAACCAGCATTCCACATTAAAGATGAAATGAAAATCCTCAAGCAGCAACCGAAGCCACATGTAAAAGTTGGAAGGTCTTCGTGGACAATGGATGGACAAGGAAACGAATCGAATGTGAGAGGTGCTGGTATCCATCAGTAGATGTGAAGACGGATCACTAAACCGTAACCGCCTATACGACCGTCTATGTGCAACGCAAAATTGCATGATTTGCCCCAATGGTAGAGACGGTGACTGCATGAGTTCGGGTACAATCTATCTGATCTCTTGTAAAGCGTGCGGGGACGAATACGTTGGCGAAATGGGTAAACCACTCTGCGTCCGTATAAAAGAACACCTAGTTGGCAAACGCAAACCAAATACTCCACTAGGCCCGCATAGGACGCAGAAACATAACGGAGAAGATTTTGAAGTAGGGGTCACGATCCTCGGCAGTAGGGCAGGAATCGAGAACGCAAGCGCGCAAAACTCTAGAGGCATTCTGGATTAATTCCAAGAATCCGAAAATGAACCGCAAGGAGGAATGCCTCATTATCACGCGTGATACTGGGCAGTATATAAGTCTGTTATTTTCGTGAGATGGGCACAATACGATTCCGTGTGAACTCTGTGCGGTTGGTCTCCACGTGACATATTTAGTGGAAGACTCATAGAAAGCAGTGAGTGTGCAGAGTTATGTTAAATGTGATTGAAATTTTGGTTCAGCGTTTTCTCTGTTTGGTTATGGAAGTGTTTGGCCGTGTATTGCAGTCAACTTGACCTTTCCAGGCTCTGAGGAAGGCAAAATCCGCCGAAATGTCAGCTTGTACGTAAATAAAGAAATAAAATAACACCTCGTGTTTGCTGAACAGAAGTAGAAAGAATTATTCAATCAATGCCGAGGTTAATAGAAAGTTGGACGTAGGAGTTACTATAACTCTTTGAATCGTACAGCTTACACGACAACCCCGTGTAAGATGAAGAATTCGAAGAGTTGTAATACTTCGAAACTGACTTTCTTTTAACCTCGGTGTGACTAATCAATATGTATTCTTTCTTCGACGAGCTTGCACGAGGTTGATAAATATATTTGTTTTCGACTGACGTTTCGACGTTTTCGTCTTCACCAGAGCCAATGGCCCGAGTCTATGGTCCGAGTAGAAAAAGTTTTACTGATCAATCAACGTTCGTTAATGAATTTGATTTACTTCACAAATAATCCACACACGTGACAATGTTAAGTGATCTTTAGATGACATCCTGCTAACTTTCGAACACCATTTAGTTTTTAAGAGCTAAGAACTTTTAGAAAGCCCACCAAAAATCTACGAGATCAATGAAAACGAGAATACGTACCTGCCATCCATTCTCCAAATGCGGAAGCATATACGACATGGCTGAGGTGCTGTTTATGAAAATTCAGCGAAAAACTGAAACTCATAGAGTTGAAGCAAAAAGGAAGAATGTAAAGAACAAGCGCTTGGCAAAGCGTACAGGACGACATGCAGCGATTTCAATGCACACATTTACAAGGAAGACTTTGCTTCTCAACTCAAACAAGTGCAACTTAGCCCACAGTGAAATTGGATAAATGAAATAGAAACTATTAGAATCCACAGATCTTTGCTAGCACATACAACTTCAAATGTTTCACTACGATAAAACCTAGATTTCTGCCAGGCACGAACCGATTGAACAAGTCGGATTTAACCCAGAGCACTATGTATTGATATTGTTGATGGCCAGCACTGCTCACACTGGAAAATTCTCGAATTTCAACCACAAAAACGAACTAGGATAGAGCAAACGGGTTAAAATGTTTACATATAATTTTATAGGTCTCCTCTATACAAAATGGCCAGTTACGATACCTCTATAGTAGCTTAGCGGACAACAAATCAATATTGCTGTCCAAAGAACCAGTATCGTTGGCATGTGTTAATACGAGAGTGAAACAGAGTCGGAATCATGAAACGATTCAATAAACTCGCATTTAGAGGGCTTCAATGAGAAGACGAATCCCAGAACGAGAAACTTCAGCAATTTCACAAGCGAAGAATTCAGTGGACGAATCTGTACGCAGGAAAAATCGAACTGCTCGTTCAGTGATTTCGAATACTGGTAGTGCTCAGCCGTGCGTTCCGCATTTTGAACTTCGAGTGTTCGCATGAACATCTCAGCAAGAACAGATCTACTTCAAGGTACCCTGCCATGTGAAGCACACAAGGTCTTATGCACGCAAGTCGGGCTCAGAACAGGACCAGCCATTGTGGGCATCGCTATGGTTGGGTCATCTTTAATGAATGGAGCACATCGACGTGAATTGTTTACTCTTTCTCTCTTTCTTTTATCTTTGCAGTTTCAGTCTCCAAATTCTTTCCAGTTTCCTGAGGCTTACCCGATCTCAAACAAGTACATCTGTACGTGCTGTGTCTGGAAAAATAAGGCGAAGAAAACCAGACGAGGTTTATCCAGGCAGACGAAATTCCTAATCGAGCTTTCCATTCGCAATAAATACGTCCATACATCCACCATTTACTCATATAAATCGTTGTGCCGTACAAACAACATCATTTTCGGACACAAATACTAGTTGAGAGAAAGGCGAAACGAAGGATCCGCATGGTGTGGTGGTGAACGCATTAGCGACCTGGAAGGGCAATAGCGCGTTGGTTCCCCACCGCAGACACCTGCGTTTCGGAGTTTTGCAAATATCTTAGCAACACTGTGGTTGTACCACACAAACACTATTGTCCGTCATTTACCGAAAAATCTTATTTCATCACTTCTTCCCTTTTTTACTCCTTTAGCCATTTTGGATGGTACTGTTAGTGACAATATCGATAGATATGATTGGCCTATCGAACAGTAGTGCTATAGAAGCCAATGTCTAGAATTCTTTAGCGGCGATACGTTCAGATCATAGCTTAGGAGTCACAAAGTTCTTCTAATTTGCGTTTGATATTGTAAGACTACACGAAGAGGTAGTGAATGTTCTTAGGAAAGAAGAGCAGAAGTAACGACCGAAGCTCTAGTGGTTATAGGCAACTTCTTCAGAATCTGCTTTGAATTCGACAATTATAAGTCTAAATGACCATCATCTGGTGTGGAGACGGAATATTGAGTGTACGTATCAGGGCAATCGAGGTCATTTACAACTTCCAGTCCTATATTTTACATAGTGACATCCACCTGATGTCAGGTGTGGGCATGTCACATAAGCGGATCTCCTTTCCGAATGTCATTTCGTCAACTACCGTCGAAGGGATTGACTCGGAAATCTGAGGTTGTTGCCAGTACTCGCCTCTCCACATATCGCCTCTTAGAGTTCCAGGTTCCAAATCGATAGAAAAACAAAACCAACGTGTTGTTATGCAGAAATAGAAAATAGAGGATAACAATGGCCAAACCTGACTTGTTTCTGTCGCCCATTACCTCTTGACTTAAACCATCCAGAACAGGATAGAAGAACACTAGATGAGGAACAGCTAAGGATCATATCCACACGATGACGAAACTCATGTGTGTATTGCAAGAGTGTACGATGCCGCTTTGTTCAACTTCCAGTGAATGAGAAGATGCGGTCAGTTCAGCTGAGAATGAATGAGTATTGGAAGCTCTAGATAGTCACTGTGTCCCTGTTCAGCACACAATAGTCCATTACAACACATAGTAGAAATATCTTTCTACTTCTGTTATATATTCAATCAGTGCCGAAGTTAATAGAAAGTCGGACTTGGGAGCTACATAGTAGAAATGTTTATCCACAATTTCACCACTCTCCAACAGTTTCCTTTGCAGACATAAAGAGATGGAGAGCTTCGACAACAGGATGCCATATCACCAAAGTTGCATAGTGTCTTCCTTAACAACGTTATTCGAAAATTGAAGTGACACGATATGCGAGTGAAAATCGATAGAATGGAGATACACCATCTTAACTCTGCTAATGATATAACTCCTACAATCCAAGAATTGGATAAGTGGGATGAATAGTGGACAATTTCGACAGCACCTGTGAAAAAATCGCTGTTCCGTTGAGCCTTCAGAAAACGATATTCCTAGAAAACGGTTTGTGATTCATTTGTGATGCTTCATCCACAAACGAAAGAACATATATTTTCAAATGGTCCAGTTAGGTTTATCTGGGTCGAGACGTCAACATAGCCAACAGACGTTCATATCTGAGTAGGAGCAAACGAGCACTGTGGTTGGATAATCAGATCCCCTGGTGCCAACGCGAAAAGAAGAAAAAAACGAACTGAGTTGGCACCTCGCTTCCTGCATTTAACTTAGAATTACCCATCAATACGTTTTGCAAAGAAAAATTTTTCTTCCTATTTCGGGGAGCAACGCATCATTAAGTCTATTTCCTAACCGAGTTGTTGCTTGTGGTTATACAACCACAACGTTGCTGAGATATTTGCAAAACTCTGCACCGCAGGTGTCTGCGGTGGGGAACGAACGCGCTATTATCCTTTCCGGGGAGTAACGCGTTCACCACCACACCATGCGGGTCCTTCGTCTCGCCTGACTCTCAGCTATTTCTACTGATCTTTTTGCCACAGCAATCACCCGTCAGCGGGGTTGATCTGGGGAGCGCAAATCGGCATAGAACCCAGCTAAGCTATGGCTGTAGTTGAAATCACAATGTTTAACGTTTTATTTTCTGCCTTCTATAATTTTCATGGCAGGTTACTAAGCGAAATACAACCACAACGTTGCTGAGATATTTAGCGTTAATGGCGCGAACTCCGGAAGAGGAAAACAGCAGAGCTGGCATTCGCTGGTCTCAAGAGAAGCCAGTGGCCCGTTTGCGTACGCAGAACAGTAAGTCCATATTTTTGACAGATCAATATGCTGTCGATACGCGTGGCAGTTAAAGTGTGGGCCACGCAGCAAATAGAAGGCGGTTGATGTTTTCTGAAATATAACCAATGAACATAAATAAATAATGCTGGATGGTTAGCCATGAACCTGCAGTCCCAGGATATCCCCAGTGTTGAAGACGGATGAGGATGGTAGGGTGAACCCAAAGGATACCCGAGCCTCTAAGTGCGCCCACATGCAAGTGGACGGAGGAGATTTTTGCAGCTCATGTGGACTCGCTGGAAACAGCTCAGGGGCAAAAGGGTACTTGCAGACACTATGCACGACACATACCTCCATCGCGGATAGTGATTCTGAGGGAGCGAAACGAATCGAAACTGTTTTGCCCACGATCACGACAATGCAGTACTAGGTAGAATCCCAAATTTCCGCATATTTGGCTTCCAGATAAAGCTCCGCTAGATTTGTGAGTATGCGTTGTGGAGTATGCAAGACCCCATGCATTTGACGATCCACAGTGTTTACTTCAAATCACGTGTCTACTTTCCACCGTTCATTACTACAAGGAGCAGGTGTACTTTCACCTAATATGGATAAACGAACATTACCCACTCTTATGCAGAAACGAATTTCCATCGTACGAAACAATACGAACAACGACTACTCCGGTGAACTTCAGCAGAGATGAAATAGGAACGTCGAATCACCTGATCATGTGTGATTAATAAGATAACATTCGCGTCTCTATCTATTCGGTCTTCAGAAAAGAAACCGAGTTGAAAATACGCACTTCTGAGGCTATTTGACTATAACTGAATGCCACCAACTGTGATTAGACTCCACCTCGGAACCTCCGAAATGAGGCTTAACGTAGTGAACAAATCTTGTGGTTACTTCTGTTAGTAAGTGTCCTAGTTTGTACAAGTGAAATAGAACCTTCAGAAGAGTGGGCAGGCTACCTTCCACAGTGTGTGTAACCATAACCTTGACTTTTTCAAGAAGCGTAAGTGTACTCTATAAAATCTGCGTGACGTGATTACGAGTGCTGTCGACAAATGCACTCTCTATCGCACAAATTATTAAAAAAGCTGACTCGTTAAACGAATTCTTGAATCATAGGTGAGCACGCCTTACTTCTGTGTTCTTCCAATGAGATCCATTTCGGACGTATACCATAACGTTTCCAACGTAGGATTACACTTTCATAATGATTAGTTGCTCTTCCTTGAGACCCATGTGTCTTAAGAAAACCAACGAGTCCAACTAAACATTTATTAACAATGCCGTTCAAACGCGATTATATCAACGAGATCAACTAAACACCGCCAAATGTGCGAAATAGTTGCGAAAAATCAGGCCTACCGGAAAATCAACTATATAGCTACGAATTCTAAAGCGACATCAAATGAACAAAAGATTAATCAAGCTATCCATAGAGAAACAAGAGGCACGCTGAAAGGTCCAAAGAAGGTATCCATAACAACAACTGAAGACCCAGACGTTTACGCATTATCACCACTGAAAACTTTATAGTTTCATAAACTTATAATATCGTTAATAGTCAAACAAACACCATTGACACACAACAGCCAACACTCAGATTTGGGTGGCTGCCACGCGAAACTTTCAAGAACGTCATGTCGGTTACGGACTTGCTAGTTTTTTGACAATAAGCAATTTTTTGATAAGTAGACGATCTGAGAGGTTGTAAACATGACAGGATTGTAGAGGAGACTTTCCTCTATCGTTCTATGGGTATGAATGGTACGTAGGCTACTATTTCCTGTATGCTAGCACGGTTCATCGTACAAACACATTGCTGTCAGGATTTCCAAATACTGTACAGTATTGTGTTTGCTTCGCTACGTTTCATAGATTTCTATCCCAAACGATAACTGCGATTCACTACAGCGACTGGAAAGAAATAACTGTCAAATGAAAGTCACATTACTGGTTATAGAGATTTCTTTTAATACTAAAACGCAAAAAAAGCTCAAAAGCTACTCCTAACCTAACATTTGTGTTGGATAACTTATCGACTAATACAAAAGGCGCGACAAAAAAGAACCTCTGCATCAAAGTAAACCACTAAGAAGAAAGCGCATGGTCGCAATGCACTTCGCCCACTTCGCCACCCCTCGCGCATGCACACCGTACAGTTCATCTGGACGCAGTATTCAAGAATGTCATTTTCAAATGTGACAATGTACCGTTTTAGAAACGACTGCTCTTAGCTTTGGAACAGAAATTTGCCAACACTGTTTGTGGTGTTCCTCTAGAAACAAATGACAGATAAAAAACTTACAAGTATTTACGAATAATGTCACGCTGATCAGCAA